GAAGTGAATGATTTATAATTACATAAGCTGAAGAACATAGGCACATCCAGGTACTTTTTGCAGGTGCTATAGTTGTAGGTGAATTCATGAAAAATAACAAATAAAATATCTGATACATGTTCATCTGCCCTAGGTAAGGGACTATCGTTTGTCCCAACATCACAGGCCGACTTTGCCACAGTTATAGACTTCCAAAAGTTGTTCCGCAGTTTGAGATTGACTGAGTTTTTTGGTAATGGGGTTGCTCCCCATGTACCTGCCCATGTAAATCCATTGAACGAGACTAGTAACCAGACAGGACATAGTGCTAATGTTTTTCCCATTGATAACCTGAATGACAATTAATTTGAATCTCGCCCTGAGGACATGATAACGGACAATACATATTTTAAGAGGAAGAGCACATTTTTACCACCCAGATGAAATCCCTCTCTTGAAACATATTGCCGCCTAGTTGAGAAAGATGTACACAATCTCCTGGCTAAGAAACAAGAATACAAGGTATTCCACAATATGTCCAACACAGAGAATTGAATCCCTTATGGAACTCAAGAATGACTCCACTATCATTATAAAACCTGCCGACAAAGGAGGTGCATTAGTGATACAAAATATTGCAGACTATGAAAAACAAATTCTGAGACAACTCAGGGATGATTCATTTTACAAAATACTCCCTAAGGACCCTACTAATCAATTCAAGTCTCTGATCCATGATAAATTGTCTAAGTTTTTGAATGAAGGGGAAATTACAAAGACAGAATATGAGCATATAAAGTTGACTCCCCAACCACACGTGTCATATACGCTCTCCCCAAAATTCACAAGAGCATGACGCCACCTATACCAGGCAGGCCCATTGTGAGTAGTAACGGATCTCTGACAGAGAATATCTCTACCTTTGTAGATCATTTTGTGAAACCCTGGGCGATCTCTCTCCCCACGTATACCTGACTCTTTTCATTTTATATATTTCCTGAAATCTATGGACCATATACGAGAAAATTATATTCTGTGGACTTTTGATGTTGCCAGTCTATATACTAACATTCCCCACCAGGGTAGCCTAGAGGCCCTCAAGTTCTACCTCAATGAACGTCCCCCTAATGCTCTTCCCAGCACCAATTGTATTGTGGACTTGACTGAACTGGTACTAACCTCAAACTGTTTTCTCTTCAGAGGATACTTTTTCTTCCAGACCAAAGGGACAGCGATGGCTCCTAATTATGCGAACCTATACACTGTATCTAGGAATGTTTGAAAAACAAGTGATGCTGAATCCAAACCTTAACCCCTTTTCTCGCCAATATTTTCCTAATTCTGAGATATTTCTATGATATTTTTGTGATCTATACAGGGACCCAGGAAGAGCTCTTAGAATTCCATGCCTATCTAAACTCTATGAATGAGCACGTTCATTTCACCATCACCTATGACCTATCCCAAATCAGTTTTCTTGATGTGATGGATATTAAGAACAAAACCTCCCTCTCTACAGATCTCTATAGGAAACCTACGGACAGAAACACCCTCCTTAGAGGTGACAGCTTCCATCCACGTCAACTTATTAAAAGTCTCCCTGTAAATCAATTCAGCCACAGAAGAATATGCAGCTCTGATGCTTCTTACCAGAAACAGACCATGGACCTCACACAAAGGTTTAAGGAAAGGGATTACAAAGACAATTGGGTAAAACATGCCAACATTTTGAAGGGCAAACACAGTTGGAAAGTCTTCAACCAAAAGTAAAATACTCAATACTCACCATTGGGGAAGGCATTTAAGGACATTATCAGGAAGCACTGGTACATTATTGATACTGACACACAATTGAAACCCATCTTTAAATATCCCCCGCGTATGGTCTTTAAAAGACCCCCAAACGTGAGAGACATTGTGGTCAAATCTGACTATCCACCAGAGGAAAGGGAAACTTTCTTGGAAAAAGTTTGAGGGTAATTAAAAATGTGGCCAATGTGCTCAATGCAGTTTAACGTATAAATGTGACTAATTTACCTACCCCCGCACAGGAAAATATTTAAGATCAAAGGCCTGATTACCTGCATGTCCACCAATGTTGTTTACATGTTGAAATGTCCCTGTGGTCTGTCTTACATAAGGACCACCCGTAGAAGCCTTTAGACCCGGATCAGTGAGCACCGCAATATACGGACAGGTGAGACAAAAAACCCAGTTGCTGTTCATTTTGTACAAGCTGGACATCCTATTAGTTCTCTGAGATACATTGGAATAGAAATGGTCAAGATGTCATGCAGGGGAGGGGACATTGAGAGGAAACTTCTTCAAAGGAATCTTTCTGGATCCAAAGGCTCAACACACTGTCTCCTCTTGGCCTTAATGAGGAGTTCGACTTAAAACCGTTTTTATAGTTCCAAAATGTCCAAATTATTGTGTGCTTTTTTTATCCTAATTGAATATTGTGGATATATACAGTACCAGTCAATAGTTTGGACACACCTACTCATTCAAGGGTTTTTCTTTATTTTTACTATTTTCTACATTGTAGAATAATAGTGAAGACATCAAAACTATGAAATAACACATATGGAATCATGTAGTAAACAAAAAAGTGTTAAAAAAATCGAAAAATGTTATATTTTTGATTCTTCAAAGAAGACACCATTTGCCTTGATTACTGCTTTGAACATTCTTGTCATTCCCTCAACCAGCTTCACCTGGAATGCTTTTCCAACAGTCTCGAAGGAGTTCCCACATATGCTGAGCACTTGTTGGCTGCTTTTCCTTCACTCTGCAGTCCAACTCATCCCAAACCATCTCAATTGGGTTGAGGTCGGGTGATTGTGGATGCCAGGTCATCTGATGCAGCACTCCATCACTCTCCTTCTTGTTCAAATAGCCCTTACACAGCCTGGAGGTGTGTTGGGTCATTGTCCTGTTGAAAAACAAATGATAGTCCCACTAAGCGCAAACCAGACGTGATGGCATATCGCTGCAGAATGCTGTGGTAGCCATGCTGGTTAAGTGTGCATTGAATTCTAAATAAATCGCTGACAGTGTCACCAGCAAAGCACCCCCACACCATCACACCGCCTCCTCCGGTGGGAACTACACATGCAGAGATAATCCGTTCACCTACTCTGCGTCTCACAAAGACACGGCGGTTGGAACCAAAAATCTCACATTTGGACTCGTCAGACCAAAGGACAGATTTCCACCGGTCTAATGTCCATTGCTCATGTTTCTTGGCCCAAGCAAGTCTCTTCTTCTTATTGGGGTCCTGCAGCAATTCGACCATGAAGGCCTGATTCACACAGTCTCCTCTGAACAGTTGATGTTGAGATGTGTCTGTTACGTGAACTCTGTGAAGCATTTATTTGGGCTGCAATTTCTGAGGCTGGTAACTCTAATGAACTTATCCTCTGCAGCAGAGGTAACTCTGGGTCTTCCTTTCCAGTGGTGGTCCTCATGAAAGCCAGTTTCATCATAGCACTTGATAGTCTTTGCGACTGCACTTTAAGAAACTATCAAAGTTCTTGAAATGTTCCGTATTGACTGACCTTTATGTCTTTATGTCTTTGCCTATTTGAGCTGTTCTTGCCATAATATGGACTTGGTATTTTACCAAATAGGGCTATCTTCTGTATACCACCCCTACCTTTTCACAACACAACTGATTGACTCAAACACATTAAGAAGGAAATGAATTCCACAAATTCACTTTTAACAAGGCACACCTGTTAATTTAAATGCATTCCAGGTGACTACCTCGTGAAGCTGGTTGAGAGAATGCCAAGAGTGTGCAAAGCAGTCATCAAGGCAAAGGGTGGCTACTTTGAAGAATCTCAAATATAAAATATATTTTGATTTGTTTAACACTTTTTTGGTTACTAAATGATTCCATATGTGTTATTTCATAGTTTTGATGTCTTCACTATTATTCTACAATGTAGAAAACAGTAAAAATAAAGAAAAACCCTGGAATGAGTAGGTGTGTCCAAACCTTTGACTGGTACTGTATATTACTGTAAATATTGATCACATACCTTGTGTATGGTCATATCTTTCGATTAATTGAATGTTGATATTGTGAACCTATGTTATATATTTTTACCTCCTGTTTCAGGAAGTGATGTCACTGAGGACCTTCCACCCCCACCTGGGCTATGGATGCCTGATGAAGACCTAAGGGTCCAAATGTTGTTATAATAAAATCACCTGTGATCATGAGCAGCAGTGTGCAGCATTTTATAATTTGTATTATTTACTGTACTATTATATCTCACACAAATTCATATTTAATTTAATTATGTTTATTTTTCCCCCCAGATGGATGGTACCACTCTAACCCTTCAATATGAAGGACATCCCATTGGTACCAATCTCACCACATACTGTATCTATAGAAATCAGGATGTTCATCTCAATCACTGCATATGCTTACGGTAAGTCCAACCCTGAAAATTGTATTATACCTGTTTACAGATTGTCAAACTTAAGTTTCAATTGGCTTTTGTTTTATAACAGTCACAATATTGAGAAGGCACTGAACTACTTTACACAAGAATCACATGTAAAATCAAATAAAAATCAATTGCCTCTGTCCCGCTGATCATATTTAGAAAGTGTCTCAATGGGAGCCAAATAGTAGTAAAATTTAGCCATGGTCCATATTTCCATACACTTTTTCTTTCTTGATGTGCTTCATTGCATTCAAAGCAGCTACTGACATTTTTATATACAGTAAGTTATGTCACTACAACTGCTACAGATGTAGGATTTTATCTCACCCATAGAATTTTAAAACTGTCCTGCAATGCAGTAATTGTAAAACTTGTAGTGTATTTGAGGTTTAAAAAGACAGAAGTTTGTAATTTCCACTTAGACATTTCAGACTTGATTTTCCCTTGCGAAAAATTTATCAACTCCTACAAAAATGTCCATTAATTATAATCTACATACTAATTCACATTTCCTGTTGCTGCAGGATTAGTTTCCTGCTGTAGCAAACTGGCTCTAATTAAGATCCTACATCTATATCACCCTGCTCCATCGAAGTCCATCCCTGTTATACCTCTTCAGTTGCTGTTTCACGCCAGATGAAAGTCTTTCCTAATTTCACCAGTAGTTAGCACCATTCTCAATTCTGCCCCAGCTTTGCCACCCAGGAAAGAGTCCACTTGATAAACGGGGACTTCCAAACTGGTCAAACTCCATCTCCAGTAGTTTATTGCCGTTCTTGTGCTCTGCTGGTTTCTTACGCTCAACAATGTTTTTGGCCAGTGTTTGCACATCCTCTCCATTCCACCCAATGGGTTTGAGCATGTAGTTTTCCCCATCATAATTGTCCCAGAAAACCTGGTCTTTGCTCTTGAAGTATATGCAAAATTCGACTCTATTATAAGGAGGCACGTAACTGGGCAGTTCAAAGACAAAGGTGAATGTGTCTGTGTCCTGGCAGCTGTAGACACTGTTAATGAAGGTGCAGTCAATGTCTTTGTGGGTTTTCCATGAGTCAACGGTCAACCGGACCTGGACAGATTTCTCAAAGCCAAGGTTTCGGACTTTCACAGTGCCTGTGAGTGACCTCTCCTTCAGTGTGCAGTTTTCCAGGCACACAGAGTTCTTCAACAGCCGGTTCCGGAAGGCCAGATAGTCTGCAGCGGGTTGGGGGAAGTCCAGTGCCAGGCTTCGCATGGTGCTGATCTTCAGCTCCATGGTGTCATTCTCCAGGTCTGTAAGGTCAAATTGTAAGTCGGACAGCATGGGCTTTTCATCAAACTTTGAAAAGACGTGGATGGCTGTGAGGGACATGCCTTTGGAGTCGGCAAAGACCACTCTCTTCTTTCCCTTGGGGATCTTTATGGTGATCTTGGGGCTCTTCTGGGCCTCCAAGGGCCTTTGGGAGCTAATGCAGGGCCGGAGGGGCTTGTAGTGGTTTTCCCGGTTCTTGACCCTCAAGTTCTCATAGGAGCTGAGGAAGCTCCGGAGAGGTGGAGAGTGTGTGATGTACATCCGCATAGCAATATCTACAGGCATAACAGGGCCCGGCATTGCTGATGAATTTAATACGTAGAGCACCCTGAGTAAAGGGGGAATAAACAGAAAGCATTTTAATAAATATTTTATATTTTATATTTTTTCTTGAGGTCTTTTGAGGTCCTCTTATTGAATGTGTTCATTGTGTATTCATCTAAACACACAATTAATCTTTATGCACTTTACTTAACCATATTATACATGTCAATGTCTAGTACTAAATTAATGTTTTTTTAGTCTCATGACATTACATTGCGGTCGACATTTGTTTTTTGCATCTACTTCACCAGACAAGTTATTTGACCAACCGTAGATGTATTTCAGCTCACATGATCATGCTATTCCTAAAATCTAAATGACAACACAAAACTTTGTGAAATTATCAATACAATATTTTATTCTGCTTACAAATTGAGAACCCATCCAAATGAGTTATTGCCTTAAACTGCTAACATCTACTGTAAAGCTACATTAAAAAACAAAACAATTATCCTTACCTCGTGGCACTCAATATATATAATGAACAATGTAGAGAGAGGTTCCAAGACAAAGATGATTGAACAAGATACACTTTAAAATGTACTGTACTACCTAGTTTTGTTCAAGTATTTTGCCATGAATTCATAAATTGATGTCAGTAGTCTTGAGCAGGCACCCCCCTCTTGCTATCTCTGCAGTTCAGTCTCACAATGCATGAGAGCCAGTGATTTCAACTGCCACATCGAGCCAATTTGCATATTTTGCTCACATGGTTTCTCAAATAACCAATGAAAGATCTGAGGAGTTTCGCTTCAACCAATCAGAACAAATATGTATTGGACTCTAGTCAATCCACATGGGGTTTTGAGTATGCAAAGTACATGGTTTGGATACCTCAAACTGACACACTTTCTATTTGAGAATCATTGTAGACCTCTGCTGGTATTGATGATGTGCTACAGCTAATTCACTGTTTATGGTTTATGTGTTTATGGTCTCCTTTCTTTCAAAATAAAAAATATGATCAAGTGACAAAAGTGAGGAGATGTCCTTCAATGAAAAAACGATTCATTTATAAAATCTCAGTTTAATTATTTTATCTCACCCATAGAATTATCAAGGGCATTTTCCAAGGTCATATGAATATTGTCTTTCGGTCAATTGTTTGCAAGAGTGCTATTTAAAGCTTATTTATTTGCTCAATTGGTTTTGGGCCATGGTCATAAGTTAATCATTATCCATCCTCTAAGACCAGATTAATCATTTTGAATCTCTTTTGATATAAGATCTAAAGCCACTTTCTAACAGTCAACAGATAATGTTAGTTGAAGCTGGCCTCCCTGCCTGTGCCATTAAACCCCTACAACTCATCCAGAATG